TTAGATCATTGCCTGCAATCATGGAAAGCCTCTATAAGTCTTCTTCATGTATTTTATTTGTTTAATTGCAATAATTCTTGTATTCATTAATCAATTTTGAGGCGTCAGATTTTAAAGGCAGATAATCATATTAGCTGAGTAAAAATTGAAACAATCATTCGCATTTAAACTATTGTTACATTAAATATATATATATGAGTTTAAAAACAATAACTGCCCTTTGAGTGAGATTTAAAGTGAGTGGTTGTTACCATTGATATTTCTTCTATATATTGCCCTGTATCTATATAATTGACTGACTGGCTGTCTGGCTTAATGTTCAAAATTAAATCATGTGCTGGCCAGGGTCTGGGAACTGGATACTATGCTTCCCACCTGTCTTGATTCCAATGTTTTAGCTAATTACTCTCTCCAACAGTGCCCTAACTAATCAGCCTCCAACAGTATTCTAGTTAGTCAGCCTTTCAACATACAGGGGGACTATAAAATGGCTCGACCTTCGTCTGGGTGGGGACAAAAATAGACAACTTCTCACAGATAGTTCCCTCTCAGAGGATTGCAATAGGCCCTACCCTAGACGACATATATCCACAAGGGTGTGGATGCGTGGATATTCAGTTACACAGAAGTAGAAGCTTGGTTCAGGGTTCAGAAGCTTTAGATGGTTGGTTTTCTCTTTGGAACTGGTAGGATACTAATACACATTATTTTACTTTCAACAGGTTGACATGATGAGAGAAGCATTAGAAAAACTTCAGCTGAATATAGTAGAGATGAAAGATGAAAACGCAACTTTAGATGGTGGGGATGTCCTATTCACAGGTACCATTGTATTTTTTTTCTATCTAAAAATATAATACTTGGCTTGTCCTCACTTGTCTCATTAAAGCTTTCTTTGGTTTTTTATTATAAATGTCTTAGATGCTAAATGCAAGAAGTTTAGGAAACTAAGAAAAACACACTCAGAGATAATCGCTTAAATATTTGGGCATATTATTTTACTATTTTTGTATGCATATATTTGCATATTTTTACAAAAAATATTATCTACCCCTATACAAACCATTTTGTAGCTTACTGGCACCATGTGTTTCTGCAATGTAGGTTTGACGGTGTATCTGTTTTGTATTTAAAAGATTCTTAAATGGAGATTAGCGTCATTTTTAGGTAATTTTCTTCCCAGATGACAAGAAGAATAAATATTATTTTCCATGCAAAATGTCTTTGACTAATGCTAGATAAATAACAGCAAAGCTCCATAAAACATAAACAGTTAATATGATCATTAATTTAACTAGAATCAGTTTTTACATTGGGTAAAATACTGCTACTGAAGAAACAATAATTTTAATTTGAGGAATTAACCTTTCCTGTTCTTCATGACCACAGTATTAGTATTTTATAAATTTTGTGTTAAAATCTGGACTGTGTTTATTCTGGTTGTACTGATAGCAAGCCTGTCAACGTCGTCATTGTTGACAGGTGCCATCAAGTTGGTTCCGACTCATAGTGGCCCTGTGTGCAACAAAATAAAACTCTGCCCGCTCCTGTGCCACCCTCATGGTTGTTGTGTGAGTGCTTTGTTACAGCCACTGTCCGTCCATCTCCTCGAGTGCCTTCCCCTTCCTTCCTCCCCTTCGAATTTACCAAGGATGATATCTATCAATAATCATTTTCAGTTTCTAATGAGACTTTATTTTCCTTTAAATGTTAGAGGGCCAAAGCAGCCCTAACAAGAGAGGCTGGTCTGCAGGGAGCTGGAATATAGTCCCAGGTGGTCCACGGAACACATGAAGCTTCTTAAAAGTGTAATGTTTTAACTGACGGGAACTTTATATTGAATCACTTGTATAAAGCCAAAATATAGCCATCTTTGATGTAATACAACATTAGTGCTCTATAGAAGTCAGATTTGTGGTATAACTAGATTTCCAGGAAGATAAGTCAAATATTTATCGTGACATTTGAGTAAATTCTTGCTCAGTGCCTGCTACTTAGGGGCAGTAGAGTCACAGTGCTGCCCAATCTCAGTGGGCACCATTCTTAGTACACGTCATATCAATAGTACCCTTAGGAACTGTGCGCTGCTCGGACTGTATTGCCATTACTGCAGCCCCTGGGGTTGGTTTGTATGCCCATGTGAGAAATACAGCCTAAGAATACAGGACAAGGAATTGAGGAGGCCTTTACTGCGCTGGTGTACCTGTCCAGACGTAGGTATGATTTGAACCTGCCCAGTAAGTTCCGCGTAAAATCCTCATTGTGTCTGCCATTAGTGGCAATTTCATTCTCTTTGATAACAACAGAACAGTAGCCTATTTCTCTTAGAAAATAACTTTCTGTTTAAAGCCACGTGTGTAAATCACCCTTCCCTATAATAAAATTCTTCTTTACACTAGGAAACAACCGTGCAGTAAATAATGTGTTGTTGTTGTTGTTGTTGTTGTTTTGTTGTTGTTGTTAGGTGCTAGCAGGTCAGTTCTGACTTGTAGTGTCCCTGTGTATAACACAACGAAATGCTGCCTAGTCTTGCCCTATCTTTACAATCACTGTTTCAGCCCCTAAAGTTTGGGCTTACCAAGTGTGATGCCCTTCTCCTGGGACTGATCCCTTCTGCTGAATGTGTCCAAAGCACTGGGGACTAAGACCCACCCTTGTCACTTCTAGGGAGCATCCTGGCTGTGTCTTTGAAGACAGATTTGTCCATCCTTCTGGCAGCCCTTGGTGTGTGCTATATTGCTAGTCACCACATAATTCGGACACATCGATTCGAATTTGGTGTTCTCCATTCATTGTCCAGCTTTAGTGTGCATGACTGAAAGCACCATGACTTGGATCACACACCTGAGGCCTCAAAGTAACGTCTTGTTGTAATCAGGTACTAACACAATTGCAGGGTGGTTTAAAACAAGCACGTTCACAGCCATGTAGTTAACAGCTGCTCTGAACAGTCCCTGAACTCTTCTGAATATTAAAGCACAATTGATACCAGAAATTTCTTCAGTAAAACATCTTTCTTTCTTACTTACTTTTTTTCCCCTTAGTATCTACGTCATTCTTAGCATTTTAATCTAGACAGGTGCTTAGGCCATTTAAGACTCAACAGATGGAATGATGCATATCTTTGAGCATCTGTGTTTTTTAAAAGACTAGCTTTCCATAAGCACTCACCCACAAAGACACTGCAGTTACCGAATGGAAAACAAGACAGTTATTCTCTGTGGAATCAGTAGAGGGTCTTTCAGAGAAAGGGCAGTTTGGGGAATAAAAGACTTCAGCGTCTCTGATGCCAAGGTAAGAGTATTTCGTTATTCGCAGTGGTTGCACCAAAGAAGCCGGAGGTGGGTCTCTTCCAGCAGCCACCCTTGGTTGAAAAGAAGCAGGAACCGCACCACTTTCCACTCCAAGGACATGCACATCTTCCTATCCTTGAAAGGGTCTTCTGCAGTTGGCACACTGACCAGCAGAGGGTCGTTCCTGGCATGCTCCTCACAGTAGGACAAGAGGTCCCGGGAAACTTTATTCCCTCCTTAGAGACTTGTAATCTTCTGTTTTTTAATCATTTTATTAGGGGCACATACAACTCTTGTCACAATCCACACATACAGCAATTGTATAAGGCACATTTGTACATTCATTGCCCTCATCATTCTCCAAACATCCGCTCTCCACCCAAGCCCCTGGCATCAGCTTCTCATGTTTTCCCTTCCCTCCCCGCTCCCCTCTCCCTCTTGAACCCTTGATAATTTATAAATTATTATTTTGTCATATCTTACACTATCCGACGTCTCCCTTCACCCACTTTTTGGTTGTCCGTCCCCCAGGGAGGGGGTTATATGAAGATCCTTGTAATCGGTTCCCTTTCCACCCCACCCTCCCTCCCTCAGTATCAACTCCCTAGCTGTGGGTTTGTATTTAATATGGAAATTAATATCTTTTACATTAAAAACTAAGGTGGCATTGGGATAGTGAGATCATTATCTGGCATCTCATCTATCAATCGCCTATTTTTGAGCTCCCAAGGAAGCATTTAATATTTAGTCTTGTTTCCAGTTTCCTACTTCTCAATGTTTATATTAGGTATTGGGCAAGGACAGACTTGAGTAAGAAATAGATGTATGTAGCATTTAAATGATGCTGTGTGCTTTTCCTTCTGTAAACTAAGGGCCTCCTCAGGAATTGATTAGGAATGGGCAGCAGGGGAGCTGCATCGCAGCTCCAGTTCCTGCTGAGAAATGTGTCAGTCAGCCAGCCAAGCAGCTACTGGCAAAAATTGTTTCAATCCTTTCCTCTTAAATATGCAACATCAAGTGACCTCTATTTATATTTATTTTATTGTGAAATATGGAGTACATGAAAATAGTTATAAAATGTTTATGTATGGTTTAAGGCTAAATAATAAAATGAACACCTGTGTACCCACCACCTGGCTTAAGAAACAGATCATTATCAGGATCTTACGAGCTCCTGTGTGGTCTCAAGCCCCAAATCCCCATCCCTCAATGTGAGCTAACCAAGGCCTGAGGTTTGTGACAATGGTGGCTTGCTTTCTTCGAGTTTAACCTCTGTGTGCGCATTCCTAGGGGTCACTATCAGTGGGAATCAATTGGATGGCAATGAGTTCTTATTTTGCTTATTTGTTTGTTGTTTTTTAAGTTGTGTATCTTTCAGTTTTTGTTTGTCTTTTAGCTTTTTAATATTGGAACATGAACTTCTGTTTGACTTTCTGCTTTTAATCTGTGTTGATGAATGTAGTTGTAGCTATTATTTGTGCATTTCACTGCTATATACCATTTAGTGCTAAGAATACCCCATAATCTATGTATTCATCTTTCTACTGATGTATATCTGGTTATTTTCCTGTTTTTGTCTTTTATCGCCAATACGGTCATTTACCTTTCTGGGGACATATACAAGAGTTTCTCCAAGGTAAACACCTACAAATAGAATTTCAGGTGATATGATCAACCCCTTTTTGCCTCAATAGGATGGCTATATGGTTTTTCTTCTTTAATCTGATGATACGGTTAATTAAATTAATTGTTTCTGATATTGGACTAGTTTACAACCAGGAACCAGGGACAAAACTAAATTGGATCATGACGTTCTTTTTTTTGATACATTGTTGGGTTTTATGCTAATTATGCTAATATCTTGTTTAAGACTTTTATTTCTGCAATCTATAATGTTTCTTGTTACCTTTGTCTGACTTCAGTGAAAGAATTGTGTTAAAATGGAGTGTTTCCTGTTTTTCTATTCTCTGCAATCAGCACATTTTGTATTATCTATTCCTTGAAATTTGGTAGAACTGACCTATAAACCAACTCTGTAGGTTTGGTGAAGATGTTTTTTAAATCATTTTATTGGGAGCTCATACAGCTTTTATCACAACCCATCCATCCATCCATTGTGTCAAGCACATTTGTGCGTATGTTGCAATCATCATTTTCAAAACATTTTCTTTCTACTTGAGCCCTTGAAATAGTATTATTTTTTCATGTCTTAACACTGACCGATGTCTCCCTTCACCCACTTTTCTGTTGTCCATCCCCCAGGGAGGGGGTTATATGTAGATCATTGTGATCACTTCCTCCTATCCCCGCACCCACTTCCCCTTATCCTCCTGGTGTCGCCACTCTCATTGTTGGTCCTGAGGGGGTCATCTGTCTTGGAATCCCTGTGTTTCCAGCTCTTATGTGTACCTGTTACATGCTCTGGTCTAGCTGGATTTATAAGATAGAATTGGGGTCATAATAATGGGTGGGGAGGAAGCATTAAAGAACTAGAGGGGAGTTGTATGTTTCATCAGTGCTATATTGCACCCTGATTGGCTCGTCTCTTCTTTGTGACCCTTCTGTAAAGGGATGTCCAGTTGTCTATAGATGGGCTTTGGGTTTCCACTCCTCACTCTCCGTCATTCACGTTGATAAGATTTTTTGTTCTGGGTCTTTGATGCCTGATACCTGATCCCATCAACACATTATCACACAGGCTGGTGTGCTTCTTCCATATGGGCTTTGTTGTTTCTCATTCAGATAGCCACGTGTTTATCTTCAAACCTTTAAGATGCTGTATCTTTTGAAAGCTGGGCACCATTAGCTTTCTTCACCACATTTGCTTATGCACCCATTCTGTCTAAGGCGATTGTCTCAGGAAGGTGAGCATCATGAAATGCCAGGTTATTAGAACAAAGTGTTCTTGTGTTGAGGGAGTACTTGAGTAGAGGCCCAATGTCTGTCTGCTATTTTAATACTTAACATGTAAATATGAGTACATAGATCTATTTCCCTATCGTTATATATATTTACATATGTACATGCCTGTATTTAGACCTCTATAAAGGCCCTTTGCCTCCTAGTTCTTTCTTGTTTCCTTTTACTTTCCTTTTGTCCCACTATCATGTTCGGCTTTCTTCATGTCTCATAATCCCTCTCAGTTACATTGCCCTTAATCAAGCCCTACCAGGCATCCTATTCCCTCCTCGCCATCAATTTTAGATCACTTGTTGTTCCCTTGTCCCTGGATTTGTTAACACCCACTTCCTCCACCACCACCCACTTCTGTGCCCATCCTCAACTGTTGGTCCTGTTGTTTTCTCCTCTAGATTGTTTATCCCGTATATCTTATCTAGATAGATATGCAGAGGCAATAATAAGCACAAAAACAAGACAGAGCAAAACAACAACAACAACAACAATTTGGTGAAGATTTTTAACTCAGTTTTTGGGTTTTTTTAATGACTGATTACTTAGGCAGTTCTAAGTCTGTTTTGGAAGCTCTGCTTTTTAAATTTTTCATTTCATCTCATTTTAAAATTTTGGAGCTATAAAATTATTGATACACTATTTATGTATCATATTACTAAATTGTGCCTTTTTAAAAATCTTGACAGAAACGTGTTAATTTATCCTTCCAAAGATCTAACTTTTGGCTTTGTTGGGCTTTCTCGGTGCTTCCTTTTTCTTTCTCTTTTAATTTATTTTTTCTTCTTTCAGGAGAAAGACGAATTTTTCCCTTATTTTCTCTTATATCTCAAGTTGGAATTTTATCCAGTCTTGCACCTGTATCTTTAATGGAAGTGATGTAAGGCTGTGACGTCTACTTGTGCCTTACCTGAGTCTTTCTTCTTGTGGTATAAATATTTTTGTTTTTATACAGCCCTGTATTTCGTTATTATTTCTGTTCGTGATTTCAACTTTGACCCATGAATGGATGAGAATGCTTTAAAAAACAAAGCAAAAAGCCTCTTGGTGGTGGCTGTAAGTTGCTGAAACACAATCTCATTATTCTGAAAATTGATGAGTGAAGGAAAGCTTCAAGCATTTAGTTTACCTTTCTGTATGAATTCTGTTTTGGAAACCATATATTCAGAAAACTTTCTTTATGCATTATAAGCCATATATTCTACAAAGTTTTCCTTTGTAGACAATTTTCTTTGCTTTTCTTTGTCAGTAAACGCAAGTTCCTAATAAAATAAAGGATTTGTACAGTCATCTTCAAAGGATGTTAAAACTCGGATACTAGAATGTGCTTGGGCAGGTTAGCTAGAGAAACAAATTCAGTGACAGACACTCATATATATGTAAGACAGAGCTTTATATCAAGAAGTAATTATATATCAAGAAAACATCCCAGCCCAGTCCAACTCAAGTCTATAAGTCCTCTACTGGCCCCTCAGCCCCTCTTCAGACTCACGCCCCCACATGCAGTGATACAGGCTCACACAGTCACATGCAATGATGCCAAATGCAGGAAGATCCCAGGCTGATGGGTGCAGAGTCATGTGGGTCAAGGTGAGTGGACACAGGGCAGGGCTCCAGCAGCTCTCAGGGTGGCCAGCCAGCAGAAAAGGCAAAGGCAGAGAGAGGGGAGTTTCCCAGAACCTCCATATGAGAAGGCCACGCCCCCACGGAGGCACCATCAGGCTGCGACTTGATTGGCAGGTTGGATACCATCCTTACATTTTTAGATGTCTGCAAGTCGACATTTATGCGACTACCACAGAGAGTTTGATGGGGAACTTCCCATTGGAGGAATCAGGTTCATTCCATCTGGACCCACTGAACACAGGGACTAAAGGGACACTTTAAATGTTAAAGGACACTCAAGGAAGCAATCGGTGAAACACATAATATGGGACATTCAGTAGGATGACTGACCAGTTCTTTCTATCCTTAAATAGGGTTGGGAAGGGGGAGGTGCGGAGAAGTGAATTCACACAGAAAGACAAAGTGACATAAGAGCCATAAAAAAATGAACAAGCTTTAAAAAATTATTTCTGTTTCCGCATTTTTGTTTTCATTGGGACATTCATTTAGGGGATCTTGTTTGCCACATTGCCAGAAATAGAAGTCCAACTTACCACATATACTCGTGTATAAGCTGAGTTTTTCAGCACAATTTTTATGCATTTTTTTGTGGTAAATTAGGTGCCTCACCTGATATTCGGGTCGGCTTATACTTGGGTATATATGGTACTTGTTAGAAATAAGGAGTATACTTTCCTATCACACTCTAGTCTTTTTAAATGGCAACAATCCTTATGCCCATTATAAATCTGCGATAATTTGCTTAATGTATTAAATGTTTGCCCTAAGGGTCGTATATTAAATCTAATTTATTAACCATATATCCTTTTTACTTTATTCATATTTCAAATCACAAACTTCTGGCTTTGTTGAACCCTCTCTCTTAGATGTTTCCCTTCTCTTTGTATATCTATTGGGTTTTCTTTCTTCAGATTTTCTTTATTTTTACAGAATTAAGAATTAAGAAAGCATTTTATTGTAGCTGATTTTTTTATAAAATACATAATATTTTCTCAAGAAAAAGTCCTGCCCCTAACTTGAATTTTGACTTTTATGTAATGAATGTTCATAAGAGACAACAGTCATATAATTGCCACCAAAAAAAGGCACCTGGGAAACAAGAGATTCCTGTGTCTGCCCACAGCATCAGCCTGTAGAATTTAACCCTCTGATAAGGGCATCATGAAGAGTAAAGTGATAATACTCATAATTGGAAATGGATAGTGTGATAGGTAGGTTTATTGTGCCATCCTGGTCAATAAACACATGTGGGATTAATAAGGTTGCAGTTTAATTGAAGGGCAAAGAGATAAATGGCTCGGCAAGCCTCACCTTTCTGTCTCTTGCTCTCTGATGACCGGACCAGTGTGCAGCTGCCTTAGCTAGTTCTCTGCCTCAACCTGCAAGCTCTATTACCTGTTGGACACCCAACCCGTGGACTGCGTCCCTGTAGTTTGAGGTTCCTTTGAGACCTGCTTCTCCACACTGCTGGTATATACTTCACTTGAGCTGGGGACTGTTGGACTCTGTCATTTGGCTGACTGTTGGTGACCTGCCCTGCTGTTTGCTGCCTGTGGCTGGACTGCCTATATTTCTCTATAGAAGACTCAGCTGTCTGCTTCCTTGACTTGCACCCAGCAGTCCTCATGAGTTGAAGGACTGCCAGTATATTAACTGTCTCACGGAAGTGAGTTGAACTGAGCCCTCTGTACTGCTCTGTGGACTGAATAACTATTTATTTCTTCATGTTTTATATATCTATCCATATCCATTTATATATATATAAATCATAAGTGTATGGGTTTTGTTTCTCTAGGGAACCCTGTCTAACACAGATAATTATATAGTTTTAAAGGCAGAGGTTGGGGGGACCAACCCTGCAGACCAGTGGGTCATAGACTCACTTTACCCAGATGTTGTCTACAAACCTCAAAGGATTCTTATAAGAAGAAGGATCCTACATCATCAGGAATATCCAATGCTGTTTTTCTCAAAGATTTTTTTAAGAGAAGTCCTGCTCACTTGTCATTGCTGTTCCATCATTTCTGATGATAAATTATTGATGTGTCTAATTCTATTCTTTCCTAAATAAAAAGCACTTCCTAAACAGAGGAGTTTGAAAGATGGTTTTTTGCAAAGCCAGTAAGGATCCGTGTACCCGTGGGGCAGCCCTCTGTGGAAGGAGGGAACAGTGTGGTGTTTTGTGGTCATTATTTATAGCTAGAATGCAACAGTGTGCAGCCTGCTGGTGCCACCCACTCACTGTGCTTCATGACATTCATTCTAGGCAGAGAATTTTTTGTGGGCCTCTCCAAAAGGACAAATCAACGAGGTGCTGAAATCTTGGCTGACACTTTTAAGGTAGGTAACAAGAGAATGTATTTATTACTAGCACAATATAATTACTTAATAAATATTCATACTTCCATTGACTCAGTATGTCATGAGTAATGGTGTTGATATGTCACCTGCCTTGCAAAATAACTCCTGAATTTGCCAGGAGTTCTTGGAGCTATCAGATCCTCATTGCTCCATAAGTAGGTTTGGCTGGGCTACCACAGCAGCAACAGACAAAATTACTGTGAGCATCTTCTGTTTTCTCCGGTTTGTAATCATAAGACTACCCAGAAGATGTTCCTAGTCCAACAAGGACTTGGAAAAAACAAATATCCAGGAGCCCCAAGTAGCTTAGATCAGACACAGAGATGGGCGTTCTTCAGAAAGAAATTGGAGGCTGCCTGTACTGGAGTGCTTGCTGTGAGCCACACCCTATGCTGGAGGCTCCACAGAGGGATATCCTGCCATGGTCTCGACTCCAGTGCCCATCACAATCAGTTGGCCGGCCAAACTGCTGAGGAAGGGCTACAAGACACAAGCAGTTCTGGGTCCCACACAGCTATGAGGCGCCAGTGAGCCACAGTTTGAGCAGGGTCCTCAGACCCACCCTGGACTGGCCTGGGCCATAGATGAAACCGCAAATGAAAAGCTGTTGGCAGGGGCTCAGCCCTTTCATTTAACTGGCGATGTCAAAACCTAAGAGGCCCGGTTTTCCTTCCAGATCAGCAGAACCCTTGGCAGTCTCCAGTGAAGCAGGCGTGGCTCAGGCAGGTGTGTAGTCCATGTTAAAAATACTCTTCAGTGTCTAACTGATTTTTTTTCTATTTCATACGTAGGACTATGCAGTCTCCACCGTCCCCGTAGCTAATGCTTTGCACCTAAAGAGTTTCTGCAGCATGGCCGGACCTAACCTGATCGCCATTGGGTCCAGTGAAGCCGCGCAGAAAGCCCTGAAGGTATCTTAAAATATCCTCCTTCTAAAGGTAGCGGCTAATGCCTGCCACAAGATGTCCCACTTCTGTCTGTTAGGTAGGCAGCAAATAAGGATGTCAGGAGAAGACAGGCTTGAGCTTGAATTTCCTGTGATGTACCCCATCCCGACTTCATATTCATTAGGAACCACAAACACCTAAGTGTGCGGAGACCTCTGCACTGGGGAACCGTTCCACTCACACACCAGGTTTCCTAGAAATACCATGATTCAGAATGATAAAGGCCAATCCCAGCACAGCTAATATTCCTGAAAGAAAAGGACCAAACAAATAAAGAAATAAAGAAAAGGACCGCAGGCCACCCTTGGGTCTCCAAGTCTTGATGGAAGCAGACTGCTTTCTCCTAGAGCCTCTGGTGGGCTCAAACCGCTGACTTTCTGATTAGCAGTCAAGTGCTTATCCATTGCACTACTGTGGATCTTACCAGGTCCATAATCAAAACAAAACCCATTTTGATTTGTATCACAGTGTTTTTCCTTATTTCTTTCGGAGACTCTTTCGTTCTACTTCATCTGGAAGGCTGTTAACTTCCTGGATGTGAAAAGGACCGGTGTTCTGGGGGTTGGGGAGTGGGGGGAAGCATTTGAATGGTGCCACTCAGAGTGTCTTGGAAGATTATATTTCTGCTTTCAGATTTTCTGCCATGTCTGTCCGTGACAGCTGAAACAATGAGTTGGCGTGTGCATGTCTGAAATATATTGCACGGTCTCGGGGCAGAAGGAAAGATCTCTAGTGGCGTAGTTGTCAAAGTGTTCAGCAGCTAAGCAAAAAGGTCAGCAGTCCGAACCCACCAGCTGCTCTCTGGGAGAAAGATGAGGCAATCTGCCTCCATAAAGATTATATTTACCTTGGGAACCCTACCCTGTCTACTCTGCCCTATAGGGTCACTATGAGTCAGAATCAACTCAACAACAAGTGGTAAAGCAGGAGAAGACTGTAGCTGGCTTCTGTCCTGCCTATGTGCATGCTAACTGAAAGAAGCTCTCTGGCGGATAATATTTTAAGTGGCCCCACCTCCCATATTGGGTAGGCCCCACCTCACATAGAGAGAGAGTTCTGTGAAGAATTCTATGAGAGGTATTCTAGGTTGGTGCCTGGCATAACCAAAGACTGAACACAAAAATAGGTTTGGGAGATGTGGGGAGACCACACTGCTTGTGCCGCTCAGGGCCTGGTGAGGAAATCAGTCTATGATCATAAAGGGTTTTCTTGGGGCTACTGGGGGGTCCGCTTTCTTGGAGATATGGCTAGATGGCGCAGAAAAGCTCAGAAACAGGGACTTACAAGTGAGGAGGAGAAAGAGTGTCTCCATGAAGCAGGAGTCAGACAGCCCCAGGGCTCTGAGCAGAAGAGGACAGAGTGCCAGCATTGCTTTGAAGATATGGGAGCAGCGATGCCTTGGCAGAAAACAATCGGAGGGCTAAGCCCCTCCGGTCAGAAAAGAGGGCTGTCAACGACCTGGGTCAAGAGAGGCAAGCCCCAATCTCCATATGCGCTCGCTCCCATTTTGTTGTTGTGCATCCTCTGCTCCCTTTGCCATACTCCTCAAGTCCCCATCTCCCACGGGCCTCCCACGAGAGCGCTGTGGTCCTCCTCGCCTAGAGTTCATTTGAGTCAGTGATCACAACAGTGTTCTCTCTTCACTTGAAACCTTCTGTGTGAGGAGCTATAAATAATCCTGACTGGCCAGAATGGTATTGTTTGCAGCCCATACTTAGCATCAACCAATGGGCTGCTGGAACCTGGTGCCTGTGGAGTTCGCATGTGCCCACATGCCATGTTCCTAGCTTCCAAAATGTCCTCTTACCCTGCAGTGGAAGCTAGAGGACACACTGAACTGCAGGACAGGCGCTCTCCCTGAGGACAGGATCTCCGGTTCCAAATAGGTGGCTGGATGAAATGGAGGCTGAGGTGGCCTGTGCAGCTTACTGGGAGAGGGATGAGCCTTTCTAGTCCCATCACCAGTTAGCCTCAGAAGCTCACAGGGGCGTTCCACCCTGCCCTACAGAGTTGTTGGAGTCGGCATTGACTCGATGGCAATGAGTGTGGTTTGGTTTGGGTTTTATTGCCTACTAATTGGAAAACAATCCGGCTCCATGCAAGTCCTGCTACTAACTAATTGACACAGTTGTTGAGATTGGCAGAAAGGTCAATAGAGACATAAATATAATTTTTAAAGAGTTGAAGTTTTAATGTTTTTTTCTAACCATTTTGCAGGTGAAAACTCTGAGGTCTGATGAAATACAGCCTAGGATCTTATGGGTCCAGAGTTAGGGTTCCTGGGTCCTGTCTCCCCTCCCCAACTCCCCACCTAACTCCCAACTCCATACCCATTCATTTGCTATTGGAAAACATGTCCTGATTATTGTTTTTCTTGAACTAGTTTTAGCTGAGCTCCCCTCTCTTGCCCTATCTCTCAGCTCTCCCAGCTCCCTTCCCCTTGTTTTTGCTGGTATGGCAAATCCCAGCCGGTCTCAGAAAAGGTATGAGTTTGGTCCCACTTGTCTATTTTTCCCCTTGAAATTCTTGATGTCTCAGTCCTTGGCTCTGAAGAGAAGCCCTGGCCACGTGGGCATCTCTTTGAAGGGCATGTCATTTCAGTGGAGGTGAATTGTACATCCCGGTACCACGCACACTGAAAGCTTGATTACTTCGCACATCTGTCACTGCTCACTGAGTATTCCCTTCCTTCACAGTCTGAAAGCGGCTTCTTATATATTCATGCAAAACGGAGAGCCCAAGGGTTTCTGGGTAATCTTACTGCATTTGAAACACTTTGTAATGGCTTGCAATCTATTCTTGGTTAATGAAGTGGGTTCTTACAGAGCTAGTCATCATAGCTGTCTAGGTTGTAGTAGATTTAATAGTGTGCGCACTATGTATTTAAATGAAATCATCCATCTCGGAAGCTTTTATCAACTTTCTGCTAAAGAAAACCTCAGAACACATTCAATGTAGGGTGCACACCTAGGGAAGGAAGAAAGGAGTACGTGCTGTTACTGCACTTTACTTTGGACCAGCCACGGTACTAGAAATTAGATTGATGTGAACAAACTCCGAAAGATGCTTACTTAACCTCTAATCCAACCCTAGAAATACTGAGATCTAAGTAAACATAGTCTTTGGAGCACCCTGCCTTTCCTCGCTACTTTTCTCTCACACTTTCCATCAATCCTGCCATGCCCCTGGGCAGCTCCCACCTTCATCCTGCCCGCGTCTGTCTCGCTAGAAAAGAAGAGAACGGAGGAGGGGGAATTGGTCCAGACAGACGCATTAGACCTATTAGTACTCTCCCAGGGGGAACACTTGCCTTTTCAAGAAAGTGAGACTTCTCGTTGCTCCTCGGCTGGAACTGTGCCCACACCCATAATATTGAGCAAAAGGAGCCCATTCTCTAAACATACATACCCTCCTCGTCCATGTGGATGAGGTAAAGCAACAGACACACTCTCTGCTAGTAGCTGTCAGGGTGGGAGTTCTTTTCAGAAGAAGGCAAAGAGCCGGGGTCAGGAAGGAGAAGGGGGTGGGGCTGGCTATTTCTTGATCTGGATAATTGTAGGATTTCTCATAATTATATCGTTAAATCTGTATACTTTTCTGTATATGCTTGTTATGCTTTAATTTCTTTTCATTTAATGACATCACATGCCGATTATATAGTTGAAAGTGGGCTGTGCTTAATTTATTGAAATACTTACATAATGTTGCTATTAGGGGCCACCAACGCAGTTCCCACTGAAGCGACCTTACAGCAGAGCAGAGCACTATCTGGCTCTGTGCTTTTTTACAACTGTGGTTGTGTTTGAACCCATTGGGGTTTGGTGGGGGGAGGGGGGACTGCTTGTTTTCTTTCTTTTTTTCAATCATTTTATTGGGTTACAGCTCTTCACAATTCATACAAACATCCATTGTGTCAAGCACATTTGTACATGTTGCCATCATCATTTTCAAAACATTTTCTTTCTATTTGAGCCTTTGGTGTCAGCTCATTCCCACCCACCCTCCCTCATGGTCCCTTGATAATTTATAAATTATTATTTTTTTCATGTCTTACACCAACCGTTGACTCCCTTCACCCACTTCCCCAGCCCTGGGTCAGGGGGCGGGGGCGGCTATATGTCAATCACTGTGACCGTTGAACCCATTGTTAAAGCCACTGTGCCAATCTAACTCATCAGGAGTCTTGCTCTTTCTCACTGACCCTCGACATTGCCGAGAATGATGTCCTTTCCAAGGACTGGTCTCTCCTGACAACCTGTCCAAGGTAGGTAGGATACATCCTCACTAGAGAGAAGCATTCTAACTGTAATTCTTCCAAGGCGGAGTTGCATGTTCTGCCGGCAGTCCACGGTGCTTTCACCACTCTTCGCCAGCACCACAATTAGAACGCACCAGTGCTTCCTCAGTGGTGTCCTGCTCTTGCGTGCATAGGAAAATGCCACGGCTGGGGCCAAATGCCAAAAAAAAGTCTAATTCCTAAACACCTACTTTACCCCTATATAATCCTTTTCTGTTCACAGACTAGCTTCCTTTATTTTGCTTTGAATAAAAGAATTGGATCCAAAAAAAAGGTATCTCCAAAGAGTGGATTTACACCACTCTCTCGCCCATTCTTTTTCTAAATCCATACCAAAATCTCCTTCCTCTCCAAGAACCTGGGTGAATTACCTGGTGTCTGTCGCAGAAGGGCAGATTGTCACTTGCGCCCTATGGAAAGACAGTACTTCTTCACACAGTCTCTTGAGTAGGATCCAGTCCTTTGGTGAAAAAAGAATGAAAGGAAAGATGTAAGAAAAGAAGAGGAGGGGAGGGCAACGAGCGGGGTGGGGAGAAGGGTCACCCTGAACTGAACGGCAGGCGAGCGCCACTATGCACAGCGTGGAGGAGCTGAGGGACTGACAGGCTGAGGGCCTGTGCCATCTGGTGGCAGGCAGCCAGCAGCACATTCTCACCTTGTGCGCCCT